GATATAAATTATAGTACCTTCTGAAAACGGACCCTCTTATGACGTAGAAACCTCATCTCGCCATAGTTAAAAGAAAATACCAAACGCCCGACGGAGACTGAGGCAACTGATATATTAATTCTTTCAACTGTGATCTCGCGCTATTTCACTCTGTCAGAAATCATGTATTATTCATCTCTATCTGGAATAGTCTTGTTTCAGTATTAGGGTTTTGACGTCACATCATCGCCTCGTTTACAAAGGTCCGAAAAATCGGGGATTTCAATAATTTTTATGATATGTTTGAAGCTTATAAAATAAAAAATTTTTGTGATATTATAAGCCCATTGTGATGAATTCGACGTGAACTTTCCTTTTCCGTTACTAGTTTCCATTTTTTTTCAATTGGGTGACATATTCAATTTTTGAGGACCACCCTGTATCAATGAATATGTTGATCATGCATCATTTCAAGAGTTTTGACCACCGTTTGTACCAGAATGACCGGAACACACAGCCAATAGGAATCGGAGATCAATAAATTATGCATTATCTAATATAGGAATATTTCTACTTCAGTAATAAATGTGACGATTCAAAAAATTTCGAGACCACTTCGAGAAAATAGAAGGCGCGATATGTTTTTTACCACAGAAGAAAATTGAAGAAAAAAAATTCGTTGAGGAAGTCAAAATTAATCTATAAATTTCGATTTCACGTTTCTAATGTTCAACAGTTTCGATTCATACAGAACAGCCATATTCAACACATTCCCACTCTCCTCGATACGACCCTGGACATTATATGGATTTCCTATCGTGCCCCCCAAAGATTGAAAAAAATTACTGAACATAAAACTATCAGCCTGAACAGATATTTTCACAGATTGAGTTCTGATATAGTACTTTTCGTTCACAAAATGTGTCGAACAAGTTCTTTCCATAGCATCTCATTCAAGACGTACTGATGAAGTACAAATATTTCATCAGAAAAGATTCTCGAAATATTTCCTTCGAAACGTGTCTTCGTAAACTCTATGTGCATGACGTTTTAATAACGTTCCCTCCGATACATCCTTCCAACGTTCTGATCTGGACGTTCCGCGAACGTAACATGTATGACGTCCAAACACTCGAATGGATCCCTCGACCGCCACTGTTTGCACGTGAAGCGTATCAAGAAGGCTTGCAGGCATCAGGCTTCTCGAATGTAATTGAACTCGGGTAATAGACAAATTGAAAAACTCGCGTGCTTTCGTCTCATTTCCAATGGACTACGTCCAGAAGGCTATTGATTGCTCCGAACACAATCGACTAACTGCACGAAATTACGGCTGATTGAAAAAAATTGACGCCCCGTAAAGTACTGCGTCACTCTAGCTCTATAAGGACTCATCATCAGGTATTCTTGATGGTTTTTTTTTTCGGAAGAGTATGTGCGATAGTTATTACGCACTAAATTGCGTTGATAATAGGCTGGAATGAAGACAACTATACAGGGAGCCGCAAGAATACACGTAGTAAAGGAATAAACAATCGAAGAAGCATCTTCAATTCATATAAGTGAATGCCATCAAAGACACTACATAACCATTTTCATATTTGATCAATTATTCTAAAGAGTTTTAGACCCACTAGATCTTTGGACTCTTTGTTTGACCTTGAGTTTATTTAATGTAATGAGGAATAAAAATGCAACATTGAAAATAATAGCAGATGTTGTCGACTGTATACTTGAAGGCTTGAAGTAAGGGATGATAGGTCGTAACTGGAACAATCTGGTATGGCTCCAAAATTGATGAAATAAACCTCTGGTGTACGCACTTCAATCCTTTCCTGTTTTACAATTCCTTGATTTTCGCCTACTTCGATGAACATAACATGGCGTGGGTGAATGTCGCTAAATTTAGTCTGGTGCCGTACCAAAATTACAGGCATCAATGTGACAATTGTGACCGAATTGTGACCAATAAAGATAGGGAATACATTTTGCGATTTAGCCGCATCAAGGTTGGTAGAACTGATGTTGATCATAAGAATCACGCCATCTAACATTCGATATGTGAACCCCACGTCATCGTCTGAAATTCAATTGTTTATATCAAGAACCAGTCTGAGGAAACAAATGAAGAGTGAGCGCACCAGAGGTTTATTTCATCAATATCGAGATAAATCTCCAGGTGAAAAGTTGAAAACGAGATGCGAACATCGTTTTATAATACTCCTGCTACTGATGACATTTTGTTTTTGAATTTGGGATACACTGAGAGATCAGTTAATTAGCAATGAATAAATTTTCTTCAATGTTAACAAATTATGCATGCTTCTGAATATGGCCAAACTAATGTAATTTAACTACAAACAAATGATAAGTTCGAAAATTTCAGATGAATTGATTGTTTAATACTAACTTGATAATTTTCGACACAAAGAAACATATTAGTTCGATATCAACTAATATTTCTCAATGTCAACTGTCTTGAAGTTTATTATTGAAATACATTAATTAATGGTGAAGTCATATAATTTCAAATAAGTATAATATAACTGATATCATAATATCGTTGTTCCATATTTTGCTTCAGGCTTCAACGAGGGCTTCAATAACTCACTCAATATACCTCTATAGTAGGTACATGTTCTGCAATATAATAGTTATTCATCAGGATCAAGTAGAAGAATGCTCTTTTAGTTCATCAGGAAATGACACGTCTGGATCTGGAATAAAAAAAAACCAATTGACTTGACTGTCAGAAAAAGAAAAGTAACCTTTCACATAAAGAAATTACAAAAGTCTGTTCGACTCCTTACTACCAATTCAACCTATCTACCTATTATTCTTTCATTTCATTACATTTGGTGAATCAATTGATGATGATAAACGAGTACTTTATGTGAAATATATATTAATCACCCTATAAAAGGACCCCGCACCGCTGGGTCCAACTCAATCATATGACTAGTTTTCGAACAACAGCGTTTCAAATGTTGGATTTCCGGGAATTTTCGGAAATAATTTGACCTCTTGTGGTATTACAAGTGAAAACTTGTGTATCAATAGAACGGCAAAGCTTTGGAACTCTTTTCCAAAAAAGTATTCCCATCAAGAACGTTCAATCTCCTTCTCCCTATATTTCCTAGGTGCGCATGATGTTCTTCGAATATTATGCGAATTCCCTTTCGTGCGCTCTATGAGATTGAAAAAATACAACCTCAGAAAATGTGATACTCATCGTCATCACTGCAATTGTGATGAATTCGACGTGAACTTTCCTTTTCCGTTACTAGTTTCAATTTTTTTTTCAATTGACATATTCGATTTTTGAGGACCATCCTGTATCAATGAATATGTTGATCATGCATCATTTCAAGAGTTTTGACCACCGTTTGAACCAGAATGACCGGAACACACAGCCAATAGGAATCGGGGATCAATAAATTATGCATTATTTTATAAGAATATTTCTACTTCAGTAATAAATGTGACAATTCAAAAAATGTCGAGACCACTTCGAGAAAATATAAGTCGCGATATGTTTTTTACCACAGAAAAAAAATTAGAGAAAAGAGAATCGATGAGAAAGTCAAAATTAATCTATGAATTCCGTTTTCACGTTTCTAATGTTCAGCAGTTTTGATTCATACAGAACAGTCATATTCAACACATTCCCACTATTCGATACGACCATGGGCATTATAGGGATTTCCTATCGTGCCCACCCAGAGATTAAAAAAAATTACTGAACATAAAACTATCAGCCTGAACAGATATTTTCAGAGCTTTTCGTGCACAAAATGTGTCGAACAAGTTCTTTCCATTGCATCTCATTCAAGACGTACTGATGAAGTACAAATATTTCATCAGAAAAGATTCTCGGAAAATTTCCTTCAGAACGTGTCTTCGTAAACTCTATGTGCATGACGTTTTAATAACGTTCACTCCGATACATCCTCCCAACGTTCTGATCTGGACGTTCCGCGGACGTAACATATATGACGTCCAAACACTCGAATGGATCCCTCGACCGCCACTGTTTGCACGTGAAGCGTACCAAGAAGGCTTACAGGCATCAGGCTGCTCGAGTGTAATTGAACTCGGGTAATAGACAAATTGAAAAACTCGCGTGCTTTCGTCTCATTTCCAATGGACTACGTCCAGAAGGCTATTGATTGCTCCGAACACAATCGACTAACTGCACGAAATTACGGCTGATTGAAAAAAATTGACGCCCCGTAAAGTACTGCGTCACTCTAGCTCTATAAGGACTCATCATCAGGTATTCTTGATGGTTTTTTTTTTTCGGAAGAGTATGTGCGATAGTTATTACGCACTAAATTGCGTTGATAATAAGCTGGAATGAAGACAACTATACAGGGAGCCGCAAGAGTAAAGGAATAAACAATCGAAGAAGCATCTTCTATTCATATAAGTGAATGCCTACATAACCATTTACATATTTGATCAATTATTCTGAAGAGTTTAAGACCCACTAGATCTTTGGACTCTTTGTTTGACCTTGGGTTTATTTAATGTAATGAGGAATGAAAATGCAACATTGAAAATAATAGCAGATGTTGTCTGTATACTTGAAGGCTTGAAGTAAGGGATGATAGATTTTCAGGTCGTAACTGGAAAAATCTGGTATGGCTCCAAAGAAATATGGAGTATGTTTCCAATCACAATATTGATGTTTCCTCAAAGGTGTGTGAGTCAATTACTATACAGGGTGGCAATAAAATGAATCCACATATTGAACACAGCAATATGCCGTCCTCTTTCTATCATCACAACCTATTCTTCTATGGGAAAATCAAGACAGTATTTGAGTATTGATTGGTTGGAGAATTTGAAATTTTTGAGTTATTTCAATTCTTTTTCTTTAGGAAATTGCTCATCTTTCAGGATATGTTGTCCATCTCCCAAAGTATGTAAATCGAAGTGAATTTTCATCAATGTCGTCTCCACAAGATTCATTGTTTGTTCCTTGCCATCTGGTATAATTGTGTCCCCTTTGTTTCCAGATCTGCCAACTTCAACAACTCCACTGGTACTTGTGAACTCTCCAACATGGACAGAATAACTTTGGCAGGCAGCAACGCTTTCCAAGCTGCTAATGGCTACGACTACATCGAAAACAATTGCATCGAAGAGCCTACTAAGCTGTGCGAATTCAAGAAACTCAACGGCAGGATACTGAAAACGGTGGACTCGGTATATCAGGATGTGGGGTCGGTGGACGAATGTCGCGAATTGTGCCTCAATTCCCCCTACAGATGTCACTCTTATGACTACGGTGATACAGGCGAGATGGTTTGCAGACTCAGTCATCACTCTAGAGCCACATTATCTGACATTCAGGTATTTTTTGCATAATTTTTTTTCGTTTTTTTTTAATAACGTGCGGTATTTCTGAAGTATAAATCATGTTAGTAACATGTGAAATGTAGAAACTTCACGAACGATGAGATTTCCAGAAAGGACCCCGCACTTTTAGTGCGTAAAATGGTTCTCGGTGAAATTTTCTGAATTTTCAGTATGTTGTAGAATTCGATGAACTGATTGAACCTGCAGAATCGTAAAGTTCTTCGATGAACAGATTCTGAGATACAGGGCGTTGAAGTTACAAATCGGTATTTTTCATTCAATTATTTTCTCGAAATTCAAAGATGCCAAGAACAATTTTCTTCGCTCATATCATTACCGAACCTCCATATTACTCAACATAATTCAGATGGTTCAGATGATGTAATTGTTTACAGAGTGAAACATATAAACATTTCAGTGATGTCTGATAATTCGATGTAATAATGAAATATCGAAAAAATAATTTATGCATGCAATATACTATTCTCATTCCATCATGAATCACAATTCATACGTTTCATACAGAGTGATTTGAAAAATTGGTGACACCTAAGACCGATTTATTCATACACATCCTGTATATTCGAGTGAATTGTTAACCTCCCAAGATAGCTGAAACCGTATGAACATGATTTCGTTGAGATATATAGGGTGATCATGAAGATTTTCGATGATGAAAATGACAAAAAATCGTGTTTTTTGAAATCACTCTGTTATTCATGATTAACTCGGTAAAATTCCCTAATTATTTTTTAATATATTCATCATTCGCTCCTTAACGCTGTCTTGAAAATTCAGTTTTCTATCATGACGGGTGTCATAGTTATTAATTCAGGAACTTACCATTTGCATGAAGAGTTGAAGAGACTTGTTCACTTACATTCGCATAGTGGCCGATATTTTTCACAAATAGTGAAACGTGAGAATGTGGAGACGAAAATAAGTTGAGGATTCATATACAGGGTGAACATTAAAAATTCAATAACAATAGCAGATATATGGATTTAATAATATTAATATAATGTACAGATAGTTAGGCGAATTTCGTTTTATTTTTTCTGAAGAACGACATGATAAAGCTATTCAATGAGTTTATCCTACTATCAAGAATTGTAATCAAAATTATAACCTAACTTCAACCAATTTTGGATCATCAACTGAAAAATTAGCTTCATTTCCACATAAACAGGACTTGAATATAGCATATAGAACAAATAGATAGATAGATAGATAGATTTATTTGACTATGTTACTAATACATATTATGGTTTATAGCACGTCAGGGTTACAGAATCATGTAGAGAATAAATCACAGACAAATTTTTTACAACTAAATAAAGTACAATCATACAAAAATCGAATATAACAAGAACATGATTATAAAATTGATGTTCGATAAAATTCATCAACAGAGTAAAAGCAATGTCCAAGAAGGATTTTCTTAACATTATTTTCGAAACATTCTGCATCCATAGATCTAACAAAAGGAGGTAGTTCATCATACAATTTGAAATTCAATGAATTCTTTTCTGATTTGACCAATCTGTATCGAGGCACAATTAAATCATCTGAACTAGCAGAGCGTGTATTGTGATCATGAATGCTAAAAATTTTGAGAGTGTTCTGCCTTCTAGAATGAATTTCAGTCAAATTCTGGAATATGTAAATACACGGAAGTGGTAAAATACCTAGTCGCTTGAATAGTGGTTGACAATGTTCTTCATGATCCACCCTAGCTAATAATCTAACCGCTCGTTTCTGTAGCCTGAAAATTTGGACAGAATCAACTGAGTCACCCCATAAAACAGTTCCATAGCTGATCAGGGAATGAAATAAACCGAAATATATATTTTTTAACAAACTTGGATTGAGGCATTGTTTGAGTTGTCTGAGCAAAAATAAAAATCTGGAAAGTTTGGCACTAAGCATATCTACATGGTGTTTCCAATTTAGACAGTCATCTATAACAATCCCAAGCAGTTTACAGTGGTTACCCTCCGTAATTAGATTGTTACTAGAAATTATTAAAATATTATAACACGTTGGGAAAGTTTATCAAGAAAAATAAAGACAAAACTTCTGAATTCGAAAAATCTGGAGTATACAAATTCAACTGTGGATCTTGTCCTAAGGTATATATCGGTCAGACAGGTTGTACGTTTAATCAGCGCATTCATGAACATAAGATGAATTTCTTTAAAAAGAAAAAGTCAACATACGCCAACCATATATTAGAAGAAAGCCATAGTTTTGAGATGATTTCGAAATTCTACACGTAGAAAATTGAGGAATGAAACTCAATTATTTTGAATCATTAGAAATCAACAAACTAAAAAATTCTGACATTTTACTTAACGATCAATAATTATAGTCCTCAATAGTTCACCACTGTTGAATTCGTTTCCTTATATCAACCCTTCCAATTTAATCCGGTACTCCATATTTTGAAGTAGATATTGTCTAATTTCCGAAAATGGAGTTTTATCGAACATTTCCACAGGTGACTCATCCTTCAGGTTGGGAAAGTAGGATATATAAGCAAGCCAAGGTTAGTTTAGTTCATCGTACCAGTATATCACCTGACGATGCTACTGTGTTAGCGAAACATGTCTTGTGTTTGAGAATTTTGTGAATATCTTATCGTTTGTGCAGTTTTCATGCCATGGATTTTATTAAAGTAACGGCCAAGTCAAATAAAAAAAAATGTAAGTAAGAAAGTGAACAGTGGGTACTATGCTATTAGATAATGATCGAGGTCTAATTTCCATTAGGCTCAATTTCTAAATGTTTACTCTGCTGTTGTATATTTCCATATTCCTTATAATATTGCCTTTTGGGAATGTTCGACAAAATTCAGCAAAATATGAATAATAATCTCACATAGTTCAATGTATGAAATTATGTCATTTCTTATTAAAATTCCTTCTGCCACTTCTGCAATAGAAGCTAATACTGCTAACAGATTGTAAATGACTACAACACACACGATCATATTTCGTCAGCATGTCAGACCAGTCCTCCTGTTTGATTGCATGAATCCAATCTTCTTGTATTCTTTCAGAAATTTCACGATTATTTTTATCAGCTCCTATTGCAGAAGGAATTCCGATGAGAAATCAGAGAAATTACCAAATTCCAAAATGAAAACCATATGTGAGTGACTATAGTAGGTACTTACTTTCAAATCATAATGTACCAACCGGATTCCTTCGTCTCTCATTGCATTTTATGTGCATTGTACAACAGCACAATATGATGGCATTCACAAATCAATAAATAGCCGAAAAACACGATTCGTATGCCAAAATAATTGTGAATAACTATTTCAATCATTTGCAAACGAAAAAGTGAGGTTGTGTTTCAATGTTCCAGCTCCAGGGTCGGTCATCTGACAGTTCTAGCACGCAACCCTTGTTCAATTTGAGGTTAACTGCAGAAAAAAGAAAGGTGGTACATTTTATAATGTACTCTAGTGTCATGGTCCTTATCAATTCACGTCAGCACGTACTCATGTTGAATGGCCTATAACATTTGCAATAAAATGACTCATTATACATATACACCTTTCAAGTTCGACTAGCGTTTCAGGAAATGCAATTACAGCGCAACAGATAAGATGATATGTCCACCTCTGGCTGATCTAACATGCAATACCGACTCCATACATATTTCATGTTCGCAATCATGTATATGATAACGATTATCCACATTACATGGGACATATTTGGAAGCGCTTCGGGCCTTTCGAGGTCTTGTTACGGTGGCAGCGGCCACTATAGAATTTCAACAACTTTTCCATGGAAATTGACAGAGATATTCATTGTATATTGTCAAACAATGGATCGCTGCCGGATTAGCCTTAAACACCGGTAGTTGTTCTTCGTATTTGCAACAATGGGGTCGTACCGAAGAACAATCGAAGTAGGTACGACCTAATTTCCCGAAAGGGAACGCAAATCAGGTGGAATATTATTTATACTATCGCTGAATCCATCTTGAGGATCATAAACCAAATGGAGAAAACTGCTTCGGTCAGCTCTGTTGGCTCCGCAAATTGAATAAAGGAAACAGTTCTTGTGATTCTTCAAACTATACAGTCGTCTCTTGTATTATTATCATTCCTGATTAAGTATACAGGTACGAATTTTCCTGAAATTGTTTCAAAATTGTTCTTGAGTAAGCAAGGAATGACGGAGGTCTTACCTATAAACGTTTGATCCTAGACACTTTCTTAGACCATCAGAAAAATTTCTGTGGTCGTGGTGGAAATCCGTGGATAGAATGCTGACGCTTCAAGTACGTATATTATGTCATACCTATCTGTAACAGTTTTCGCAATCAACATTATTTTGTCAAATTTTTGTGCAAAAACTAAGCCACATAAATATCAATTGTTTCACGATGGAAATTCACAAAATATTGTTATTCTGGCAATAATGGCTGCATGAGACCATGCAGTATCCTGCTGATGAACTGGATCTCAATGTCGGCATACAGGGAGGTTCAGAAGTGAATCTCTTTCGAGAACTCATAAAAATGACTGAAACTCAGTTTTTTTATGAAACACTATGTATATTATCGATTTGGAAAGTTGAGACTTTTCACCACTTAACTGTGTACAAGTTTGCTATACCTATTATGAATTCGTCTTCTCTAATGTAATTACTGCATAGTGACTCAGATAGATAACTGACATAAAATTAATTTCTTCATTTTCATCCTGTGAATTCGAGTTCCATAGATGTGAACGTACTATGGCAGAAAATTCCTTCTCAAATAATGATATTGTTGAACGTATTCATCATTTATTTATTTATTTATTTATTTATTTATTTAACAATTTGGCGACCCAACAAACAATTTAATGCCAATAACAGGGTCGCTCGAAGGAAAATAATGGCACATACAATAAATCAGTCTTACTATAAAAGTGATAGCATGAGAGCAAAATACAACCATAGATCTATGATACAACTAAAACAAAAAGAAAAAAAAAATACCTGATTTGCTAAAAAAGAAAATGCCTTAATAGTAGTATATTTTCATGTTATGCTATAAATAAGTATTTTTATTTTAAACAATTTACATTCTATAGTTTGGAAATATTTAATTCACTGTCACTGCTGCTGACCCAGTATAGAGTATGATATAACTTTCAAGCTACGCAAGGTGATACTGAAAATGTCAATCTGACTGAAAAAAGTGTTATAATTTCTCTGTAGTTTGCTGATGGGTGAGTTATTTCCATAGTTCGTAGTGAAATAGGGTGCATAAAACAAGTAACAGGATCGAGAAGAAACGGATTTGACTCGTATATCTATTTTTCCCAATATTTCGGTACTATCAATTTTATTGTTGAATAGCTTGTACAGAAATATCATACCTGCGACCAGTCTCCTAGAGGTTAGTTTGCACATTTTGTAGTGATTTAGTCTACGTTCGTACGGCAAAAATTGAAGATCTCTGTTATATCTGTAGTTAAGAACATTTAAGAATTTTTTTTGGACTCTTTCGATTCTATCTATATATTTGTAGTAACAAGGATCCCATATTAAAGATCCATATTCTAGGTGGCTCCTCACAAATGAATTGTACAGTATTATTAATGAATGCGGATTTTGAAATTGTTTCGTTACTCGAGATATGAAACCAAGATTCTTTAGTGATTTCCGAACTATGGAATCAATATGCTGTTCAAATGTTAACTTTTCATCCAATACTATTCCGAGATCTTTAATTTTTCCGACTCTTGATAAATTATTATTATTAATATTATATGTGTGATGTATGGTGTCTTTCAGCCTGGAGAAAGTAATAGTGTAACATTTGTCGATATTGAGAAATAATCTATTGGATTGACAGTATATACCAAGCCTGTTCAAGTCATCCTGAACCTCCAGGCAGTCGTTCGGACACGTGATGGAGGAGAAGATTTTCAGATCATCAGCATACAAACTGTAGTGCGATCTATGAAAGCAGGAACCAATGTCATTTATAAAGAGGCCAAATAATATCGGGCCCAAGTGAGAGCCTTGAGGAATGCCGGATGTAATTTTTGAGAAATTTGATTCAGTCCCGTTTATTACCACAGATTGTGTTCTGCCTTCTAAGTAGGAACTCAACCAAGTCAGAAGTTTGCCGTGTACACCGAAGTTGTTCAGTTTAACTAGCAAAGTGGGATGATGGACTTTATCAAAAGCTTTAGAATAATCAGTGTACACGGCATCAACTTGGTGATGTCCATCCATTGATTCGTAAATACTTTGGATGAACGGCATCAAGTTTGTGATTACTGACCTTCCCTGGTAAAAACTATGTTGATTCTCATTTATGCAGTGCTTGATTTTGAAAAATAATTCTTTAGTTATAACTGCTTCGAAAATTTTACCAAATAATGATAATAAAGATATAGGGCGATAATTACTGACCTGATCCTTTTTACCATTTTTAAATACTGGAACTACATGTGCCTTTCTCCAGATTCTTGGAAAAACTCCATGTGAAAGAGATTTGTTATAAATCAGATACAGAGGTATGGTAAGCGAAGAAACACAGGATTTGATGAATATCGGGGGTATTCCATCCGGTCCAGCACTTTTATTATTGTCTAGCTCTAATATATGATTTCGTATAGAGTCTTCTGTGATTTATTTTCGTTTAATGTTAATGTCAGCATTACATGTCAGGAGTTCAATGAAAAATATCCTGATTCACCTCTCATGAAATTTGAGAGAGTTCTTCAAATTAACGAGATAGTACTATCTGATGGAGTCCAATGAAAGTTTCTCTATTCATTCCAGCCAAATTCATAGTTTTGCAACTTCCAATTGAATATGATCGAGTTTTTTCGACTTTGTTTCTGATCTGATCGTATGGTTTTTGTAGCATCCGTTTCGTTCTTCTTTCACCATTTTATCAATGCGATTCGGTGAGAGGAAGAAAAAAGTAAGATTATTGTGAAATGAGATTAGGATAGGGGTGGAATGGACGCTACAAAATCAGACAACTATGATATTGATAGTTTCCAGTGCAGTGTTTCTTATTCATTATAGTTAAATCCATCTTCATTTATAGTATTTCCATATCTACTTCGATATAAGCAAGTTTTATCGACATTTTCTCTCTGCGGCCTGCCTTTGGATTCACTACATTTGTTGATGGTTGGTATTGTGTGGTTTCACGTTGCAGCTTTTACACCGCTCAAATCAAGGAGATATTTCATCTGAAAAATAAAGATTCAAATATCGAGTACGCCTTTTTTGACCATTGAAATCATATAAAGTCACTCCGTCGCCAACATTGAAATTGACCCTGATATTTTAAATTGTGTTTTCAAAAATCTCATTCGAGTATTTCCTGCTGATAAATATTCAAGTGTTGGATGTGAAAATGAAGGAGAGGGTAAAATTGATTGTATTTATTTCGATATCATCCTGTATGATCTTGTTTTTTGTAAAGATTCTCATTCGCTGAAGTGGCGTGTTAGAATATTACATCCATTCGACTCAGAAATGAATCCTCTTCAGCTGTTCCGATGTTTTTTTTTTCAAAATATTCAAACCTTTATTACAGGAACCCTACTTGGAGGTACCCGAAGCATCTACTTACGAGCTCAGTTCTTGCTACAACGTCAGCATCGAATGCAGATCAGGAGACATGATTGCCCGTATCCAAACCAGCAAATTATTCGACGGCAAAATTTATGCCAAGGGCAGTCCGAATTCGTGTGTCAGAGACGTCAATAACAGTCTGGAGTTCGATCTCAGCATGGCTTACGATGACCTTGAATGCAATGTTAGGAAAAACGGCTTGGGAAGGTCAGTTTCATTCGAATAAACTACTTTAGAATATTGAAAAGGAATATTCTCAGATATATTTATGAACAAAAAAAAAATTGATATATTGTATATACACAGGGTGTTTCTAAAAAACCTGACCTCCTCACTAGGGTAGGTAGAACACTGCAAAATAAGTTGGGTTTACTCAGTGGAAAAATTTCGTAACGGCATCCGTTTTCATGATACAAGGTGTTGAAAAAATGTTTTTTTTACACATTTTACAAGATTATGTCGAAATAACTGTCAACATTGTAGTGAAATTTTGTATGGACGTTTCTTGAAATCTGACGCATCGCATGCATTTGTTTTTATATCTGATTCTCATAGAGGGCGCTAGTTGCACGGTTCGTACCGAGTAGTTTTGAACATAACTTTTTGAGGTTAGATTTTTCAATCCAAATTTGATGTGAACTTGAACATCATTCAATTCCACACCAAAAAGGTACCCTTGGTAAAACTCGATACTGTGTTCCATTTTCGGAATATTTCGATTCGAAAATGATGAAGTGATAACTGTTGCTGGTATAAAGCTATGTATTAGAGTGAGTATTATGAAAAATTATCACCAATCTATTGAGAACCGAAAAAAACAACACATTTCTGATGCTGAACTTATTGATTTAACAATGAATCACAAGAATAACATCGAAACAGATTTGACTAAGAACATGGATTACACAGTTTTGTTGTATCTTGAGCAGAAAGTCTATGCTACATAGGTAAATTCACGTCAAAAGTTGTAAGACATAATTGAACATCACTAAAATGACCTAACAGCTGATTCTATTAATTTTTCACTTATGATTCTCTGTTCCATCAATAACTTCAGCACAAGAATAATTTTATTGTTTTTGAATCTGAATAAATAAGTAATTGAATTCAATAAAATTCATTTTGTACCAGCATCAGCTATTACTCCATTATTTTCAAATCGAAATATTCCGAAAACGGAACATAGTATCGAGTTTCACCAAGTGTACCTTTTTAATTAAAATTGCATATTAACAACATATCGACTATTTTGTTTCTTGAATACATTTTCCGTCTCTAATGATAATATGCAATTTCAATCAACACACGAATGAATAAGAAAAATTATTGATGCAATCGATTAACTGTCAAACACATAAAACATTTTGTGTAGGTACACCGCCTATACTTAGTGAAATAATTATGAAAAAATAGACTGATAGCCCTGAAAAAATATCTATCTTAGATTCCTCAATATCATGAGTTATTTTCGACGGTTTTCATCTTAACTCAAACAAGCTATTGACAACCTGCAGACATTGATCAGAATATCAAAACATTCTGAATAATATCGGATTACTGATGATTTTTAAATTTCAAAGCCTACCAAGTGTCGATAGATCATCGAATTCATGTCACAGCCAACTTATTCTTTTTGAATAAAAAGCAATTCAACAGCGAATTGAGAAATAAATGCCACTTTGTGATACATGGTTGGATAGAGAATTTCAAGGCGAAGAAGATAGACTGAAGAAATGTACAGGGTGACATTCAAAAAAAAAAGTTGGGGTCACTTTCGGTCAAACAGGTGGTCGAAAAAAATTGTCGTTAAGGTCGTAGAGTGCGCTACCATTTATTATATACCCGCTGTGAATTTCCAAATTTTATCTCTTGAAATAGAAAAACTATAGGCTGCTATATGTCTCCTGTGTCACCCGGTATATACCCATTTTTCATGCTCATAATTGAATCTGAGAATATTCCTTTTCAATACCTTCAATCAATGGGTTCAAACTTGAACGATGGAAACTTGTAATTTTAATAGACCTAAATCACAGATTCGTGATCAGATTTTTCCAATTTAAAATTATTCTTCTTACGTCCTTTATGATGAATATCAATTTATTATACAACAAAAAAAACAAAGAAAAAAACTCTTTTTTCTGATATCTCAGGTACGTGAATGATGTAGTGATCCAGCATCACGACAAAATAGTGACGAGCAGTGATTTGGGATTGGCTGTCACCTGTCAATACGATCTGACGAACAAAAGTGTGACTAATGAGGTCGATTTGGGGGTACACGGTGATATAATGCCAGGTGAGTTGTCGCTTGTAATACCACTAGAGCTTCGAGTATTACTGAAAATTTCTTCAAAAACAGAAAACTTACTTAGATATTGACGGTTTTTGATCTAAGCAGCATAGGTAGGTATTCAGGTATCAATATCGGTGGTTTGTTCTGAAACTATTCCCGATTTATTTTCCAAAAATTTCAAATTTGTGTAGTTCAAAATTAAAGAAATGTGGCTTATTGTTATCTGAGAGATAATTTTGGACTGGATGGTAAAAATATATTTTGTTACAAGGAATTCGATGCACTATTCAGTATAAATAAGATCGTCAGGTTGAATAAAACACAATCAACATACCTTAGTTGGGTATACAAAATATTAAAATTATGGTTGATAGAATCAAATTTTTTTAGTTTTCTTGAAATCCATTCTACTGAAGTTGGTAGCAATATATTTTTTCACAAGGAACCCGAAGTAGGTACCTAGCGGCAGTGTGATGGAAAATCATTAAATGAATCAAATTTTATGTAATATTCTTTGTATTTCCTAATATTGAAAACTATGACATATCGTGATTAATAATATCATTATCACCAATCAAAATCAATTAATCACAATTTCATTAGGTTTGTGAGAAAACGAATTGAATATATTCAATTCAATTCAATTTTAATAATTAATAAATTAATTTTTAGCAGAATGCAATTTATATAAATATAACAAGAACGTTTCGAAGTTTACGATGACCTGAAGTGATATTTCGATAAAAAATGAGATGATGAGAATTATTTGAGTAAGAAAAAATCGGATAAAATTCAAGACAAAGAACTACCGGAACTCAGAAATCAGCCAATTTCCGAAATATAAAAAAATGATTACCTTCTGTTGAAAATTCGATCTTATTTTAATTGATTTTACTATTGACAATCAATTCGTCAGGCTGCCATGTTTTCGAAATAAAAATCCTTGGAAATACTCGATTATTAATCAAAAAATCGTATTCTGCGAAGTAACCATGATACCTTGCACAAAACAATGCGCGAAATAAAACAGTATATGGTCCTCAATCGAGCAAACATCCACGGAATTATTTTTTTCTGAATGTTCAACAATAACTCTGTTTTATCTCTTGGAGCGCACGAATGGAAATTCCTATTATGCTCGTGGAACATCGTGCGTACCTAAGAAGGATAGGGGTAGGGCTTTTGAGTTAGTTCAACACTATTTTTTATATCAAGCTGAGCATATTTTTACTTTAGAACTAATTTTTCTTAAGTTTGTGGAAAAAATGTTGTTTGCAATTCGATCGCGAAATACTTTGGTCATCTCGACGCCTCGTTAAAAAAATCAGATCTTTGTCACCAAAGTAGCAATTCGCGCTCTTGATACAAAAATAACTAGTCTTATCAGTATTTTGTTCTGAATAAAACACTTCCAGCTTTGGTGTGGTGGGGTATGAGATTCCCAAAGTAAATTGAACTGACGATTTTCCAGAAATTACGTGGGAACCACTGTTCTCCCTACTTGTATGGAGTGATAGTTTGCTATACTGAAGCTACCTGGCGTGAAAGTTGTCTGACTTTTTCAAAACACATTCTATAGTACAATTTTTGTCGAGTGGGGTATCATTTTTCTTCAATTTATTCTGGAAAAGTTGGTAGGAATGTTTTATTTTTTCAAGGAACTCTAGTATCAATGTTATTCTCCATTGAAGAAAGATGACGTATATAGGTAGGCTATTACAACAATAGTTTTAGAAACTTCAGTTATAAGTGGTTGTTTGTGTTAAAATATAAGAACTAACGTAGTAACAACATGTCTTTAAATTTTGAATTTTCAAGGTACATATTTATTACAATACACGTCAAAAAATCTCCATTGTTTTCTCATGCTCCATACTCGAAGGAGGAGTAAAATTTCTTGAAAATATCCTAGTTGCTATGGTAACGATACAAAATACGAAAATGTTGAGGTGTGGAACTAACCAATTTATATGAGCAACACAGTACGCAGAGACAAAATCGTTGGAAAAATGCAATCTTGTGTCTAGCCTTTACTTGTTGCGATACAAGTTGACCAGCAACGGCAAATCTGCTAAGGATTTTTGACATTTAGCGCGATAAGATGTCGCGAGTGGAAGAAATATAGTTACGGAAATACAGAATTCCATCGTGGATGTAACGAATTTGATATTTTGCGTGGGCTTTCAATGTCGACGTCACTGAAGCAAAGTCGTTTCCTATCATTTATCATGCCTAGTGACTCTATGAATGAAGTTACGGTCAACTTGTGCTCTATTAATGTCCTAACTGATTTGATGAATACGGTTTAAAGTACCGTCACGGACGATCAGATTCATGGAATTCATTTTCTAGTGAATTCTTCAGTAGTTCCGTTATTGTTCAATCAAAAATGGAAGTGAAACAATTTATAGTAATGGCAAAAATCTTTCAGATGTATAGGTGATTTTCAATTGATGACTGAGATTGCCATCACTTTGCCAGCGATAAAATCATTGGCCCATCAAATCGCCAGTATTGGGCCAATGATTCGCCAGCAATCCCACGTTTCGTGCTTCGCTGAAATCGAATTTTTTTCTTAGCAATCTCTGAGGAAGTGACGGTTGACTCTCCGAATGTCGCGATGAAAATCACAAATAGAAATGGAGAAGATATCATGCAGTCTGCGGAAGTAGGAGATCCTCTGGCTCTCAAATTTGAAATTATGGACAAGAGCAGTCCCTACGAAATTTTCGTGAGGGAATTGGTGGCAATGGACGGTGTGGATTCCAGCGAAATTGTACTCATCGATTCTGATGGGTGTCCCACTGACCATTTCATCATGGGACCCATTTACAAGTCTGCCAACATTGGGAAGGTGAGTGCGATACATAATAAGAGACGGGTTGATGTTGTTTCGTTTGTCTTTTCGTTACTTCTATCAGTTCATTTTGTTTTCAATCATTTTAATTCGTCTATGAAAATTGCATTCTATTACTGCATTAGACAGGAGATAAAACTCAAAGGATTTCTTCCTAGTTGAATTCTGTCAACTGAAGTATTACAAAATGATTCATTTTTTCAATTCTGAAAAACTAATGTATCATTCTTGATCATGATATTACAGTCCATGTCCATGCTATCACGCTTATATTCATGATATTTTCATGACAATAGAAGTTTTTTCTAGCGAATATTCCAATTGACACAGGAATTATTTGGTAATTTTGCACTTATCATGCGATGGTTTTTTTTTTAGTAATTGTTCTTGCTTCTCACGTATTTTCGTCTGAAAAACACGAATTTCACAATGAAAATATGAACAAACCACTATTTATCGAGATATTCCACGAAAATTTTCGAAATCTCACCTCCTTTTGCCAACCATCTTGGATTGCATTTGCAACTATTTGCCCTTCTTTTTTCATCACTGGACACTTCATATACTTTCGTTGTACTTCAATGACACATTTTATTTATCAAAATCAGTTGGAAGTATGTTTTTTCTGTGACGGGAAAAAAGTTTGGCATTTCATCTCTGTTGGCAGGTTATAAAATGTCACTTTTCATAAATTACTTTTTTCCCGTGGGAAAAAAGTGAGTACTTTTTTCCCGGATATATATCACATAATATATACTCTGTTAATGGCTTTTGTTGTGCTATAGTTCCGAAAAATGAGTCAATAATACCGTCTCCGAGTAAGAACTGCAAGTCCTTTTATCTTCCATTCGACTTCGCGGTTTCGTATATTACTAAACAACTACTGAATTCGCAATTTTTTAGAATCAAATCACAGAATTGAACTGACAGAAGCTCGGACAGAAGTGACATCAGATATTTGATTACTTCAAAAGAATGATAAAGATGCCTATAAAACGCAGGTGTCCCTACTGTTAAAAACTTGAAATTTCACGTCGATAATTTTCAGATATCGAAATAATGTATTATCTTCTCAATATTGATTCGTCCTTCCTTCTGTCCCAGAAAAAAATAGTGTATTATACACGGGAAAAATATTAGATTTTAGCTCACGGTTTTTTGTCTCCCTCCGCTACGCGTCGGGAGACAACACAACCTGGAGCTAAAATCTACTACTTTTTTCCCTTGTATAATAAATAACTATTTTCCGGCGATTTTGCCATATTTAATGAAGTAAAAAATCACACCAGCTGATGGCCATTGAACATAGGTAAGACATACTTCGCATGCATACCAAGTATGCCAGAATTGGTTTCCACTTCAGGGGTGCATTCACGAATTTGAGATGATATATTCCTCCTTCTTCGAACTTTTTTCCGCTTTGATAGTTTGAAACTAGCTGTTGCGCGATATGAAACAAATCGAGTTGTTGATAGTGCAAGAATTCACTTCTACCGCAGGGGAGTTCAAAACATTAGTTTACCGCCAACTTTTCGAATTTCAATTCAATAGTTTGAAGATTCAGATTGCATAATAATAATTTTTTTCTGTGACGGGAAAAAATTTGGCATTTTATCTCTGTTGGCAGGTTATAAAATGTCACTTTTCATAAATTACTTTTTTCCCGTGGGAGAAAAGTGAGTACTTTTTTCCCGGATATATATCACATATACCGGGTGGCTACGGAAGTATTGCCTACAGAATATCTCAGTTATTGTATGAAGTAGGTTTGTGAAATTTGAAGCGTCGATATAATGACATAAGAGCTAGAATTTGAGCATATTGACATGTCGAAGTTAACTTCCGGTCTGACCGGAAGTTACATCAACTTTATTATTTTAAATGGAAACCCTATTTTTTTTTCTTTTCGCTTTATTCAGCATTCAGTTCCCTTTCTAATGACATATCACAAGTTAGTATCTGACCAGAAACTAGATCAGAAAAAAATTATTATTGAAATTCACCGAGTAGGCCGTGGAAGCAAAATAAAAGCCGAAAATTGAAAAGTTGGCTATGGAAACCGTACGTCACTTGATAACAGTTGCTACTACTGTGATATTTTATTTTCATTCGTCGGCGTTATAAAAAGCCGCCATCAAAAAATATTGGAAAAATTGGGAAATAACAATACTCTGTAGGTCCATAACTTAAATAGGAACATACAACTTTTTCTTGCCTGTACTATTCAGCATAACCATTCCTTTCTAATGATATAATAGAAAGTCATTTTTTGGCTTTCATTTTGCTTCCACGGCCTACTCGGTGAATTTCAATAATAATTTTTTTCTTATCTAGTTTCTGGTTAGATACCCTCTTGTGATATGTCATTAGAAAGGGAATTGAATGCTGAATAAAGCGAAAAGAAAAAAAAATAGGGTTTTCGTTTAAAATAAGAAAGTTGATGTTACTTCCGGTCAGACCAGAAGTTAACTTCGACATGTCAATATGCTCAAATTCTAGCTCTTATGTCATTATATCGACGTTCCAAATTTCACAAACCTACTTCATACAATAACTGAGATATTCCGTAGGCAATACTTCCGTAGCCACCCGGTATATACACTGTTGATGGTGTTTATTTGTTGTGCTATAGTTCCAAAAAATGAGTTAATAATACCGTCTCCGAGAAAGAACTGCAAGACCTTCTATCTTTCATTCGACTTCGCGGTTACGTATATTACTAAACAACCACTAAATTCGCAATTTTTTGCAATCAAATCACAGAATTAGACCGACAGAAGTGACATCAGATATTTGATTACTTCAAAAGAATGATAAAAATGCCTACAACGCAGGTGTCCCTACTGTTAAAAACTTAAAATTTGACGTCGATAATTTCCAGATTTCAAAATAATGTAATGTCTTCTCAAAATTGATTCGTCCTCCCCTTTGTTTTTTGTGACAACACAACCTGGAGCTAAAATCTACTAATTTTTTTCCTTGTATAATAAAAAACTATCGTACTCCATGTGGAAAAAATAATGAAGAAGGAAGAATATTTTTCAAAATTCAAAATGAGGCCGTCACCTGATGTGATTGTTTACTTCATTAAATATGGAGAAATCGACGAAAAAAACATACTTTCAGTTGATTTCAATAAAAAAAATTAGTCACTGGAGTACAACGAGGGTAAATTAAGTGTCAAACGATGGAAAAAGAAGGGCAAGAAGTTGGAATGCGATCCAAGATGGTTGGCAAGAGGAGGTGAAATTTTGAACTTGTTCGTGGAATATCTCGATAGATAGTGGTTTGTTCACATTTTCATTGTGAAATTCGTGTTTTCTAGACGAAAATACAATAGTAGTAGAAACAATTCGAAAAAAAAAACCATCGCATGATAAGTGCAAAGTTACCAATTATTTTCGTCATGAGTTCGTGATTCCTGAATCAAACCTTGAATTCACAATTTTTCACCTTCAATTTCAAATCAGTATTCCACTAACCCGAAACAAACAGGAAGATAATATCAAGAAAGACTTGACAAACATCATTAACGGAATCATTTTCGTCAAACTATCGAAGATTTCATAATCCCTAAACTGACATACCTTCTATTCAGCATAGTGAGACTGACATACCCTGTATACAGACTGAAGTAGTCTACCTTCAATATTCAGAGTATATTGATTCGGTTCAATGCTACTGAAATAGTTCAGTTGTTTCAGACTGAAAGAATATCACTGATATTGATAATTCTGATCTGACATTATTTTGACTCAAATAAAGACTAAGAACACTTATACACATACATACATTCCACTGCAATCCCAGATTTTTTTTATAAGTGTGGCAACATAGTTTCATCAGACATTGTGTTTCTTGTACTCATTCTTGATGATAACAACGATTTCCACATGGCTGAAACAAGAATTTGGAACAAATTCTTCTTTTTTTTTTTTTTTTTTTTTTTTCGAATTTTTTTTTTTTTTCAAATCACTATCGGAGACTCGATATTGCATTCTCACGATCAATCTTTCACTGTGGACTGATCATTTTCAATCAACATAAATATGGACTTGGCAACAATTCTCGAATGGGGATCCAATAACTTAGATAGGTAGATTTCAATGCAAACAAAAAACAAGCATGCCTTTTCTCTAGAAAAGCCGATCTCATTGTGCCCAACATAAGCTTGTCAGGAATAACCATACCTTTGAAGGCATCCATTTCGATGCTTGATATTACTATCAGCAATAACCTTTCTTGGGAAAATCACGTGAGATCGATTGCTGAAAGTGCATCCCAAAAACTTGGTTTTCTGTTGCGGGCCAGGAACTATTTCACTTCCAGTCAGCTGCTTATGATTTATGAGGCACAGATCCGACCTGTCCTGGAATACTGTTCCCATTTACGGAGTGCAGCACCCAAACATACTCTGAAACTGTTGGATTCTGTCCAAAAAAGGGCAATTCGTCTCGTGGGGGATAGCTCGCTCACAAACACACTGACTCCTCTGGAACACCGTATAGAAGAGTTGGCAATCTGGCTCTATTTCATAGATATTTCCATGGACGATGCTCTTCTGAAATATCAACAATTGTTCCTCCCTTGGCAGTCCCCGCGAGATCAATCCGTCGAGATGGCGCCCAACACTCGTTCATCCAACGAACAGCGAGGCTCTGGAACACATTTCCAAGAACACCAATTCCTACCTTATTTCCCTAGGTTCCATTACAGAATATCCCTTTTCGTGGGAACCAGAACATAAAAAAAATACTTTGGCTCTTACCAGAATCAATATTCGAAACGGTATCGATGATTATTTGAAGAAACATTCTGTTACATCATGGAAATTTGATGATATTATTCACGTCCCTCCATCGAAGGTCTATTCATCAAACTGATGGCTGTCGTACGAAATACCTACTTTTGTAGTCATTATGTGATGCATCATTTCAATTAGACATTCTTTTCTCCTGATATTGTCTACTTCGATTCATAAATTCATCAAATTTGTG